AAATTCCATCACCAGATTATTTTATGCAAAAAAATATAAAATAAAAATGCAATACGGCATTTTATTGAGCATCAAATTGCGCAACTTTGGCTCCATTTAACCGATCCTACGTATCTCTTACGGTTTCCGAAATCCCAATGGTGAGCGTCGAATTCGAGCCACCCTGTACATCCCCTTAACTTGGCTTTCAAAAATATATTTTTGATGGAGAAATTATTAGGTAATATGTGAAAAAGTGAAGTTCTAAATTAGTTCACAATGTTCCATCCACATCTAATGATAAATAAATAGCTTCTTGTATATGTCTATATGGTCTATACATACATTAATCGGTTTAAAACGTTCTACGTCTTCCGATGCCATCTCTCCATGCCTGTCTGTCTCTCCATGCACCGTCTACCAGAGATCTTTTCTCCATAAACGTGTCAATCCCTTCCTGCCAACTTCTTCTCGGTCTACCCGGTTTTCTTCTTCCTGCAGGTTTCCAGTTTATAATTTGCTTTGGGATTCTTGTTTCTGCCATTCTTTGGACATGTCCGTACGATATGAGTTGAGTGTTCTTTATCTCGTCCATTACTGTATGTTTAACTTCCATAATCTCTCTTATGCGTTCATTAGTTATTCGCTCGAGTCTTTATTTGCCTGCTGATCTTCTCCAAAAATCCAACTCTGTAGCTTCCAGCATTCGTTTTGTTGTTTCCTTAATTGGCCACACTTCTCAGCTGTACGTGGTTATACTCTTGATGATGGTATTATATATTAGTGTTTTGTTCTTGTTGTTTATGCTTCTGTTGCACAGTATCCCATTTAATACCGTGATAGCATTCCTTCCAAGTTGGTTTCGTTCTTTAATTGCTGTATCCAATAGTCCATCATTTGTGATTTTGCGTGCTTCTTGTATACTATTTAGTATTTTAACTATTATCATGAGTAGTAGAGAGAAGTTCTTCGTAGATTTGTGATGTAAATCGAAGTAGCTTCTATCCAAACATCTTGTCTAGTGTATAGACCTTTTTTTAAAAGAATTAATGTCTTAAAAATGAAGAAATAATTTTATTTATCAAATAAACGATTTTGATGATGAAACAAATGATGGATTTAATATGATGTATTATTTCTTCTAGTATTAATACTAAATAATTTCACAGCACGTTCCACCATAGAAATTAACAGCAACATGTATATCCTATGTGAAAAACATCGTAAAAACATCTAAAATATACGAACTACTTATAACCTAACTGCAGTTCTTTAATCTGCACTTGATGAAAACCTGATTCAGGACATGCATAAAAATAAAATAAAGACAAGAATTGCCTTGTCTTTTATTGCTTGTGACGTAAGTAAAAATATCCGCACTCACATATACCAGATGTTTTGTAATATAAATAAGGAATAGAAATTAGAAGGTGATTCCTCAGATTATTAAGTTGATTATTCATAGTAATAATTAGTAGTTTAATACTATCTAGTCATTCATGCAACCAAAACCGACATTAAAGATTTTTCATTAGCTTCCAAAATCCAAGTCTGTTCTGCAACTTGAAAGTAGAACAGTCTTAGAATGAGATACACACTAAATCATCCTGACATGATCATCCAAACTCAGACCCAGAAAACTTAATCGCTGACAAAAATTCCATAAAAAACTAAAATAAGTTAGAATTGGTTATTGCATAAGTATTATTACCCCGTATATAAAATTAAACGGATTTAATTGCGGGCTATATTAATTATACTGCCATTGCAACAGTTAGGTGACAAGGTAATTTTACTATTCGCGCCAAAAGCATGGACACGGTATAACGGAAGAAGCCAAACGGTTGGAAGCGTCAAAGGTTAGCTATGCTGATGAAGCAAGCATTCGCTTAAATAAGACAGTGGTGCAATAATAAAGTTTGGTAGTCAAAAGCTAAATAATACGAATTATCGTTTTGTCCTCTAATTCGCTTACTACCGTAGGTTATTGACACTGAAAGGCAAAAAGGAAAGTTGTTGGAGAATTCAGAATTACTTGTTCTTTTTAGTGATGGAAATGCTAACGTCGCGCCCGTTTTCGAGAGTGAAGGTAAGGAGAATCATCTGTTATGAGACTTTGTTTAAAAAAGCGGTTACCCAAAAAAGGAAAATAAGGGTTTACTAATCGACCACAGTGGCGTTAATCAGCAATAAGAGGTACTCTGGGTACCAGCTCACCAAGGAATAGAAGCAAAAAAAAAGTTGAAAAAGCAAACGATCTAACTAGAAAAGGAGCGAACACTCTTCTGAAGCAGAACCGTTGGGCTTTCCAAGTGGAAACCAACTTAAAGTGGAACACGAGTACCTGGAAGACTCCATCCATAACTTGGAATGGGAATCCTCCAACGGTCTAAGACACTCGAAGCAATTTCTTGGAACTTACGACCGTGAAAATAGAAAATTTTCCTTGATTTAAATAAGAACAGTCTTCGGAATGCCACGGAGTTTTTAACAGGACACTGTCTCCTCAACGAACACCTCTGTAGATTGAAGCTAAGAAACAATGGCGAATGCAGATTCTGTGGGGAAAATGGGGAAAAACTAGAACACCTCTTCACTAAGTATTTGCGTCTAGCCCCAGCAAGGCAACTATTAATAGCTTTGGTTAGCGTGGTTATTTGGAGGGTGTTAATTCATTGGTTAGTTGGTTATTTAGTGGGGTTGGTTGGTTTTTACTAATTTATATTTGTTTTTTAGATATTCATTGATTTCCTTTATTTGTTTGTAATAAATTATATAGTACGCCACAGCTGTTCTGTATCCGCTTTTGTCAAAAACTCTAACGTGATTGGTCAAGCTTAATAGTTGCCTTGCTGGGGCTTGACACAAGTTCACTGAGTGCGCCGAGACGACAACCATTGGTGCCATAAACTTTGGTAAGACTGATATCGGAGATGGATAACTAGACTCTGTGAAGTCGTCTCAGATACTGGCTTTTGTCAAAGCCCCGGGACTATATGAAAAAATGTTTATTATGAAATTATTATTATAACAAATTGTGTGTAGTTTTAATGTGTAAAATGTGAACATGTGTATGGATTGACTTTAATTGTATATTGTCTGATGAAGCTCGTATGAGCGAAACACGTGTCAGTGTTTAGCTTAATATAAACGTTGAGACCGACCTTTGAGTCCTTTTTTTTCTTTTTAGCATGAATATAGTTCCGCTTTGTACTCTGAACCATTTTAAACCATTATTTTAGGACATAAACAACAGTAATCTTGAAATAACATGAATATAATATGAATAAAACACAAAAACTGCCCAAAACGGATAAGTGAATGAAATAAATTTAAAGTTGAGAATTACTCTTTAGAAGCCTTCGTCAACATGTCAATTAAAAATTACACTAGAATTTGTAAATAGTGCGGTGTAGTAAAATACGTATTTTTTAAAAGTACGGTTATTTCTATTATTTGAAACTTAAATCGACAATACTACGATTAAACGGAAACAACAACATTTTTTGTTATACAGGGTCGTTGTTATTTATGGAAGCGGTCTCGGTATTATTAGGTAAAATATAGAGGTACCGCAAAAAGTTAATTACAAAAGTTATAGGATTTTTAAATTTCTATTAGCGAGTAATAAATTTAAGTATACAGGGTCGGTTATAAAGTCGTGGCGCATCAATGTTTTATTTTTTTAAATAGAACCCCCTGTATATTACTGCATATTTCATTTCTCCCTTCAATTCTAAGCAAAAATCGAAATATACACAATGTACCTCAAACCAACCGTTTCCGAGTTATTGACTTTTGAACATATCACTTAAACAATTTGATTTAATTAATTTCGATATGTTCAGTTTCATTTAACGATGCTATTTTGCCGAAACTGTGATACTTAATAATATTTGACATTAGTTCTTAAGTTAGCATTAGTTAACATTTCAATTCTTCAATTTATGTAGGTACATTGCGTAAGGAAAATTGAAATATGCAATAATATACAAGGGGTTTCATTAAAAATAAATAAAGTTTGATGTGGCACAACTTTATGACCGACCCTGTATACTTAAATTTACTAGTAGCTAATAGGCATTTAAAACCCCATTACAACAGTATCACAGTTTCGGCAGAATGCCTTCATTAAATGAAACTGATCATATGGAAATTAATTAAATCAAATTGTTTAAGTGATATGTTCAAAAGTCAATAACTCGGAATCGGTTGGTTTGAGGTACATTGTGTGTATTTCAATTTTTGATTAGAATTGAAATATGCAATATACAGGGGGTTCTATTTAAAAAATAAAACTTTGATGTGCCACGACTTTATGACCGACCCTGTATACTTAAAGTAATTTATAACTCGCTAACAGAAATTTAAAAATCCTATAACTTAGTCACTTGCTCAAATTAGGAGATGTTGCCAAACTCAAAATTCAGTAGCTGAATTCAACCCAGAAGCTGATTGAAAATTATGCAATAGTTTTTCATTATTTTTCTCATTTTATCCCACTGGGCGGTACTTTCAACGAAATTCGCAAATTATCCATGCCGCCTTGTACAAAGCAAGCAGTGGAAGAAATTATTGGCGTCATAATGCCGATATATTGACTATTCACTGAGAGTCTACAATACCCTTGACCATTAGAGCCATTACAATCCTGATTTATACACTACTCACAACAAAAGCGTCGTGAGAATCATCAATTTGTTTAATTTGGCGCTAAATCACTGGAAATAATATACCTACTTAATAAAATTTAAAAAGAAGCGTAAGCTAACGATGCTTTTTTCAGGTATCAAAAGCCAGTTTGTGTGTGGTTTCTGGGGCTAAATATCTCAGTGACGATGGGTGGACAGATTTGCGAAACCCACTGGATACTGACGTTCCATTTAGGATGTTTAGGGATGAAGGAAGAACATATTTACAGGTACAATTAAAGCAATATATTTGTATATTAGAATTTAATATAATAATAATGGATAAAGCAATATTTTGATTATTTAGAAAAAAAGTCGTACCTACTACCCATAAAAGATTTCAATTTTTTCTTCATTATGTAATGTACCTAGGTTAGCAGTGTTAAAAATACAAAGGCCTTATTTAGATAAAGAAAATACCTTTGATATCTTAGTACTACGGCATAATCTGATATGTTAACATTATTTCCCTATTGCTATATTATTATATTACTATCCATTTCTGGTCACTTCAAAAAATATACAGAGATAACAGAATTGTTATATTGTACCGTAATTATTATTGTAGTGGGTCGGAGAACCAGACTTGAGGATAAAAATGTCTGGAAGAATGGTTATGGTCTACCTGATGTGTAGAGAACTATCAACTGACGTTTCCCCAAGTACCATTCAGCAACTCTTCACACCTTGCGTTGCTTTTCGAATAGTTGGATCTCCTTCAAAGTTTCAGAGCAGTAAGAGTATTTTTTGAGATTTCTATCAGTTTTAAATTGAATATTTTCTATTTCCAGATGTTACAGAAGTTGCTTTTATTCCCGAGGCTCATTCTAAACAAGAAAGTACCAGTGGAGATTCTCTGAGTGTTTCGGAATATGTTGCTATTGGTATATCATCAGTACTTCTTGGACTAATCTACGTAGCTTCTGTATTTCTGTACCTCCATCTAAAGAAAAAAAGTTCATCTAAATCCTCCAATCACTGTAAGGGACTTATTATTATTATTGCACTATGAAACAATATATCAGTAATTCAATATTGTTTTTAGCTCGAAGTGACACTATAGGAGCCATGGAAGAAGGAATAGTTAAAAACAATCCTTTACTCTCTATAACACATCATTTTGGTCCATCTGAGAATGCTTACAGCGACAGTACAAGCTCCGACAATGATGTTACACCAGATCTCATACAACATCACGATGTAAAACTGACAAATATCTAATAGGGTGGTCTATTTTTACTTCTGCCAAAATAGATCATCCTGTATTATTTGATGTCGCTAATGCTAATATTTTTTTACAGACTCAGATTACATCAGCTATAATTCACTCTCAAAAGAAATCCCGATACGATTATTCCAAATCTTATTCTTCTTCTTCAGAAAGCAGTTATCAAGATTCTTCTAGTTTTGAACGTCTTCCTGAAGAAGACGTTTCGATAGTAGAAACGTTAGATGAAAGATCGGAGAGTACAAGAAGTTTATCTGGAACCGTTAGGAAGAAATTGTACTTTAATCCGGCTTTATTTTGAACCACATTTATTAATAGTAAGGCTATTAGAATTAATATAATTTAGCATCTCAGTTAAATACATATTTACTTATAGGCTCCACCTCCAGCAGCTTTGGAATTCCTATCAAAAATTCGAGAGGTTATTGCTATAGCCAAGCAAAAAATGTCCGCCAAACGTTTTCAACCATCTTTGCTTAATATACCAGAAGAAGAATCTCAATATTCTCTTGACCCAAGTTTCGATTTTACTCGACCTTCAAGCAGAATGAGTAGGAAGGGTAGTTTGATAAATTTAAAGCGGGAAAACAGCAGAAGGAAAAGCTGTACTGGTTGTCCAGGTTGTGAACCTGATTATATGCGAGGCAAATTGACGGAGCTTCCTATACTTCCTGCCTGTCAAAACTGTAAGAATTTTAAGAATATTTTCTCAATTTTCCTTTTTTTAGTAGTATCTTTCTACATATAATAATTATTTTTGTTTTTAGGTAGCACAAATACAGAGAGCAAACAACGGAGCATCAGAAAATGGCTAGAAGACGTACCTGTTCCGAGACTTGATCAAAACAGTAATGTTATTGAGCCAAAAATGATACGCAGTCCCAAAAGGTTACGTTCACCAGCTAGGTCTTTACCAACGGAAAGTATCTCATCAGACAGAGCTCTATCACCGCGCCCTGCTTCAGAAACTGCTTTATCAAACAAGAAACCAGTTAGACAAGCAAAACGTAAAGAGAAGGTGATCAAGAAGCCCAAACAACCTCCACCACCTGCACCACCACAAATGAAAAGGGCACAAGAAAGATATTATGATATGGTTCCGGTAGAGAAGGAAAAGGAGCCTCAACTTCCACCTCCGGATATGATACAAGAAGTAAATGATTCCTTTTATCATCCTCATTTTCAGTTTATTCAACCATTTCCAATTATGGTGTAGCCTCCCTCGCATATTTAGACACTCTCTTTGTAGTTGGGCCAATTGTTGCCTATTGTTGACTATGCGAGTTATCCTTGCTAATATCCTAATATCATGGTCCCATCACAAGTTCGGTCTTCTTCGAGGTCTCTTAATTCCTCGTGGGTACCATGCTTTTAGTTTTATGGTTCATCTGTTGTCCGATCTTCTTGTCAGGTGTCCTGTCCATTGCCACTTGAGGGATTTGATTCTTTGGATGACATCTATTACCTGGGTCTTTTGTATGCACTCGTATGCACTCTATTCTTTTCTTGGTTATTCCCAGCATATTAATAAATAATAATAAACGACGCTTTATTGTACAAAAAAGCCAAAATAGCTTCATCGACAAAGCATTTACACAACAAACAAAAGCACAGAAAAAATATACAAATAATAATAAAATATCATACAATACAAATCAATTAAAAAAAAACGTAATTAAAATTACAAATAAAACATACATGGACATTGCAGAATACAGGCGTATCAATAAAATTTCACAAAAGGAAAATTGTAAATGGATGAAGTTATAACGTATCATGTAAGAGTTATAACGTATTAAATACTAGACCTTTAACCAGTGTGTCAGATGATCAAAATTTAAAATTCAAAAATTGTTCATGATTAAAGATCAACAAAAAATTCGTTTACCGCATATAGGGCTCTCTCCAGTATGTATAATTTCAGAGCTTTGCGAAATGCGGGAAAGAAGGAAAGTGACTTGATATTCAAAGGCAGATGATTGTACATTTTTGGCATTGTACAGTATTGAGCCTTTAACTAGTTCTGAGCTCGGGGTTGGCAGATAAGATCGTGCTCCGCATTCCTAAGTGGATAGTTGTGAGATGGCCTTTCCGAAATAGCAGATATGTGCTTGCGGATTAAGCAAACGGATTCAAAAATTAATAAGGAAGGAAGAGTCAGTATTATGAAATTTTTAAAGAAATTCTGGCAGTGATTTCTACTGTTCAGTCCCAATAAATATCGAACTGCTCTCTTTTATGTCGTTCCATTGAGAGTTATGCGACCTGCAGTTTCCTTATAATGCCCTCGAATGTTTTCTTCATTAGATAGAGTGGCATTCTAGATTTGAATATGATTAAGTTTTTTCCATAACTACTCCATGCTTAAGTCCGCTAGAGATCTCGAGCGGCTACACAGCCAAACAACTAACACACATTAGTTGTAATGTAAATATATACATACATATATATATATATATATATATATATATATATATATATATATATATATATATATATATATATATATATATATATATATATATATATATATATATATATATATATATATATATATATATATATATATATATTCTACTATTTCCAGTGTTGTTTTATTTATTAGAATGTCTTTTCTTTCCGCTAGTTTGTTGTATATTACTTTAGTATTTGCTAAATTCAATTTGAGACCCACTTTATTTTCTTCTGTATTCCTTCCTTTTAAGTATAAAAGTCATAATATATTAATGTATTTTGTTTTTGATAGGCTATCGTCATGGAGAAAGCTGAAGAAACAAGAATTCCTACTTTAACGAAAAAGCAGATGAATGCAGTCATAAACGAGTTGACAGTACATAAACACATGCTACAAGCAGCTAATAGGGTTTTGGCAAAGAAAATTAGTACTGGATATGACACAGATAGCTTAGAAAGAAATAATCACAAAGGTATATTTCTAAATCTTAAAAGAATAAACTAAAAATTCTAAATTTTAATTTTATTAGGGTATTCAACTCCTTCAGAATATGCTGAAGTTTCCTCTTCTCAACCTAGTCCAAGTCTAAGTACTGCTCTACCAGTGGATGAAGAAATTACAATGCAGAACGCCATACTTAATAAAAATACTGGCAATATGACGTTGTCAAAACTAAATATGGATTTCCTAAACGAAGATGATCATGATTACGAATTGGTCGTGATGAAACGTGGTACTATGCTTAATGGAGACTTGTATAAATTTCCTGAATTGCTCCAGAATAATAATGGCTACAGCTTGGTCAGCGAGGTGTATGTTAACAATGGATACAACTACGGTAGTAATCCTTCCACGGCGACAAACTCCAATTCTTCAACCTTGGAAAAAAGAGCTTTGAAGATTAGGTATGATGGTGGTAGTGAAAAGCCAGGAAAATTGCTTATAGAAGTAGAAGACTGTTTGGACCATTATATTCCAATAAACGATTCTGATGAGTTCGAACCTGATACTTTAGACCGTCCGAATAAGCATGCAGATAAGAAAACCCTTTGTCATGAGGATTCTTTGGAGAGACCTAATCAAATCCTACTCAAAACTAACGGCAGTTTTATATGCGAGATAAACAATGTAAATATGGATGATTCCGAGAAGAGTAATTTTAAAAGAGAGTTTGGAAGTTTGAGGGAGATGTTTGAGGAGAAAAGAAAGCAAGCCAGGGAACATGAGCAGTTTCACTTGGATTCTGGTGATACGGATAGTGAAGGGAGACTTCTAACTTTAGAAGAAAGACACTTAAAAAGACAGAGAATTAAAACAACATCGTCAGGACCCACAGTTCAACCCGATGTTATTCCTCCTCCTCCTCACGATGGTTCTCCTATATATCAGCGTCCAAAACCTCCAAGAAAAGTGATAAATGCAGGAACTAAAGAGAATCCTTCAGGAAAACCTCCAACTCTTCCAAAAAACTTCATCGACAGGAGTGCCGACTTCAAGAATAAGATGCACATCGCTCAGGTTGACACTCCTGATACTGACGTCGAGTACAAACTTTGCGTTCTTCAGAAATCGAAAACTGGCAACATTACTGATTTGATCCAAACGGAAGATATAATTTTGAAGAAGAACCACCAAGACCAGTTCGTTTTACATTCAAAAATAAACCATTCGGGCTATCAGGTGCCTTTGAAATTGTCTAAGTTTCCTAAAGATAAGTACGGGTCTTTGGAGGTCTTCTTGAACAAAAAGAACCAAAAGAAATCGTGGAAAGGTACGATGAAACCTGATGATTCCGGATACTTAAGTACAGATTCTAGTGAGTATAAAATAAAGAAGTCAATGGAAAGGAGATCTTCGTTGGAGCTGAATGGTAGCGAAACTGATGAGAGTCTGGGCGATGGTCACAGTGAATCAGGAGCTGAAAGTGTAGAAACACATTCTGTTTGGTTTTCCAGGATATCAGATAGAAATTATTCGGTTTCTATGGACAGTGGAGTGATAAATGTCGATGATGGAAACAATACAAGTGATTCGGAGACGGTAAGCTACACGACGGTAGTTCCTGTGTCTTCCAACAGTAGTTCGTTGATACTTAAGTAAATTTAACAAATTACTACATGATAATGTAGTAAAATAATATCTATCTATAGATCATACCAAATAAACTTTAAGTCACGTGATTAACCTTGACTGACACAGCGTTGCCCACTTTTACATATTTTCTTTAATCAAAATATTTTAGGAAACAAAAATCAGCTAATTATAAATATATAAACAGTTATTATTTACATCAACAAAACTCATCTCCTTAATATCACTTAAAGGACCATTATTACAGCCTTCCCGTTAAAAATGTTCTAATAAGGTTGCGATAAGGTTTTTGCAACGGTTACTTTGGCATATTGTACATTTTGTACTACAAGCGGTTCTAAAAAGAACAATAGTCGACTACCAGAGATCTGCTAGTAAAAAAAATTAAGCTTGAAATATCACAACACGATTCGCTTAAACCAAAAACTCGTAATACAAAACTAAAGTGTCAAAACGAATCAAAATGTCAGGAAATAAATAAATAAATCTGGCAACTTGTCATTTTTTACAGCAGATCTACCACCTAAATGACCAGCGGGAAATTTTAATTCCAGTTAGGCTACTTGGCGCCTAATATATCCATGGTTAGCAACAATGAATTTAATGATCGCGCTCTCGATGACGTAACTAAAAGTTTATTTGGTATCGTTTGTATATTGCTAGTCCAAATAGCAAAATATTTTTTATTCTCATTTAATATATATGTACAAGTAGCAATAATGTCGTCGCACACGTTAAAATATTTTTTAGTTAAGTTTATACCAAAACTATTAAAACTAAGTGCAATAATTGTAAATTTGTGATATAGTTAATGGCCGGAGGTGCAATACAAAATATTAGGTTAAGTTTTTAGATTAAGGTACCTATTAAATGTATGAATATATAAATGGGCGATCCAAAAATAATATATCTGATCGATGTAATCAGTGGCGGACTAAGCCTGTCGGGGGCCGGGGCGGCGAAGCTAAATGTGGCCCCCGGTCTGTTTAGATAATGATATGCTTCTAATGCACATTTTGTAAAAATTGAATGACGTATGTATAATGGTTGACAAAATTCAAGTATTTATACAGGGTGTCTCAGGCTGAGCCTGCGTTAGAAGTTTCTAGAGAACTACAATATCTAGATACGAGATTTTGTGCATATCATTGTTTCATAATGAGATCTATCCATTAAAAATATTTTCAATATGGCGGCACTTTCGGAAGTACCGGAAGTTGACAGCAACTTTCTTATTTTAAATGGGTGACCCCATTTTTTATTACATACTTAAATTCTCTGTAAAATTTTATGAATTTTGATATTAACCACTCTATACCTAACGTTAACCGTTTTTGAGAAAAAAATATTTATAATTTTTGGAGGAAAAAAACTGCCTGTCAAAAATATGTATATAGCCTAAACGTCAAATTTAGTGATTGCCACAGCCACTGTACCATAAAGAGAAGACATGTGGCTATCTAAGTAAAAAATTAAATTGTCCGAATGTCATATAATAATGACCGCATCTGTCATGGAATTGAGCGATTAAAAAATTATCATAAATAATTTTTTTTTTCAAATGGAAATCAACCTTTTTTTATTTCACTCGTGAAATAGCTTTCGTTACTTTCGTTTTTAAAATTTGTTACTTTTTGACTATACATGTTCCTGTACCTAAAATAAATCGTTTTTAAGTTATTTAAGATTTAGCTTTAAAGCGTATATTTTTCTTGATTTTAACCAGTAGTCTATATGACAGTATATTATCGATCATCATTTCCAAGCTAACTTTGCGCTGTTTTTTTTTCGATCGTACGGTATATTTTTAAAATATCAACTATTAGATATCACTAAAGAACGAAAATACGAGATATATTTATATAAATACACTTTTTAAACTTTTAAGCAGGCAGTAGTTATAATATAGGAAATTCAAATAATTCATTTTCTGACAGATGGAAATAAATTGTCTGACTGTTTGACACTTAATGTCAAAGGAAGCTAGATAAAATCAAGAAAAATACAGTACGTCTGTCCATTCTGTAGCTACGGGGTATCCGTGAGACGGGAAACGATATTCTCTCGATGTTTTTCCTAAAAAAATAGACGACGCGTCCCATCAATAAAAATTCAACAATTTGCAAGTAGCCAATAAAATGAGTGGGCGGAGCGATTTGCGGTGACGCACTCGTCAAATCGACGTATAAAAAATATTGCTGTTTATTTAAATGTTTTTTGTCCGCATTCCTTTCATAGACACAGATCCAGCAGATGTACTGTATATGTTTTCAAATTAAATCTTAAATAACTTAAAAACGATTTATTTTAGGTATAGGAATATGTCTAGTTAAAACGTAACGAATTGGAAAACCTTTTCACTAGTGAAATAAAAAAGTGGGTTTCCATTTGAAAAAAAATTATTTATGATAATTTTTTAATCGCTCAATTCCATGACAGCTATCGCCATTATATATGACATTTGAATAATTTAATTTTTGAAATAAATAGCCACATGTCTTTTCTTTATGTCACAGGGGCTGTGATAATAACTAAATTTTTGACTTTTAGGCTGTACAAATTTTTTTGACAGGTAGTTTTTTTCGTCCAAAAATTTTAAATATTTTTTTCTTAAAAATGCTTCCAGGGAAATACCGCGACAAAATATCGCGATTTTCTAAGTCCTCCAAGATCCGAGGGCCCCTTCGCTGTCTCAGGCCCGTGGCCCCCGTTATAATAAATACTAAAGACTTTGGTTGTAATTTAAAATGTTTATTCAGTAAAAATAAATAATGAAACCATTGAAAAATAACTTAAAAGCTAAAATAAATAAATTCAGTCTTAAAATACATATATAAAAAATACTAATTATTCGATATTTTAATCAAAGAAAATTACCCCTTGATTTAATTTCCTAAATAGAAAATGCCATTGACAATTACTGGGGCCTGATTGATAATTAAGTAAATATCTGCTTCCATTTATACTGTTTATAGTTGGCGTATACGCATGGCATACTCCACCTACAAACTGCTTTATAACTACTGAACATATTGGCTTTGTTTACCAGTTGAATAAAAAATGACTTATTAAGATTCGGAGGTCCCCTAAAAGACGGGGCCCGGGGCGGACCGCCCCTTCCGCCCCCACTTTAGTCCGCCACTGGATGTAATGCTAAATATTATGAATAATTCGTTATATTAATTCTTCCAAGTATTTAAAAATCAGATATTTATTTTGTATATCTATTCCATGTGGAAAAGTATAAAACATTCTCTGAAACTAATTTACTTTATACATACTAATTCATTCAATTTTTTTATGGAAACATCAATTTTTAAACATAAAATTATGCTTCATAATTGAAAATATCTATCATTTTTCTGGTATAAAAGACGTTGATTTTCTTTATGTGTAAATAATTTAAGTATAATACTGAATTTCTGTATATATTTGAGTGCCCTTTTAATTAAGAATAAATAAACCTAGTTATTAAATATTTTATGTTAAATAACGAAATTTAGGAAATAATTAAATGTTATTAAAAAATATTTTTTTAAATGTGCAATATATACTTATAAGAATTTTAAAAATTACGGTGATATTTTGTGCAATAATATATTTTATGAATAAATATATTTTTTATATTTCGAATTATACTAGAGTTACATGTGTATTAAAAAATTTATAGGACCACAGCTTATTCAATAGCCAGCTACTGATATTCGCTTGTTTTTGAGTAGTCAGTGGCCTTCAGGTGCGTATTCACTTGCAACAAAACGCTCCGAACAAACCAAACGCGCCGCGCACTCCAAACAATCGGCAACAAAACATTTTCCTGGCGCGCTCTGAACGACCTGCAACAAAACATTTTGCGCGGAGCGTTCCGCTTGTTTGCCGTGTTCGCTGCATTGCCACCAGTAATCAGTGTTAGTGTGTTTGTCGACATGAATGCATCTGATATTACCATAACCGCTGGTGCTTTTTTAATTATAGAGGCATTAGCGGATAACAAAAAAGAGAAAAAAAGGAAAGTACGAAAAATATGGGCAAGACGCCTCTTTTTGCGCCGTCAAAATATGGTCTTACTTAGTCACCTAGATTATATGCATATGAAAAATTTAATTAATTTAATAATAGGCTGCCTTTTATACTCATCAACTAACTCTAAACTTGTTTTCTCTGTTAAAAAAACACTTTTCTCTGTTCCACTCCATACCTAGGTATAGTTTAAAAACACCACAAACACAACGAACGTTCAAAACTGCCGTATGCCCTGAACACCGGCCAACGAATAAATTCTTTTGAGCAAATCCCGTTTACCGACAAGCTTCGGAAAATGTTTGGCGCGTTCGGTTCGGTTCGGCGCAACGTACTGACTATACAAACTTGTTACAGCGCGCGCGGCGCGTTTGGTTCGTTCGGAGTGTTTTGTTGAAAGTGCCATGAATAGCCAGAGCACCAGTCTTAATAATTTTTGTAAACGAAGCGTCATTGGAGCTCAGAATTGGACTTACTACATATCGAATGATAAGCGAATATTTAGGTATTTACCTAGATAACTCGACAGGCTGTCTAATGAATAGGCTGTGACAGGGCTTCCTATAATTTTATTTTGTAGATGTTTTTTGTGCTCACTTCGATGTACCTGATTAACAGGTTACTAAATAGTGTCAGAAAGTCAGGTGTATCAAAACTAAAATGTTTACTTGATTTGATTTTAAGTGACACCTCTATTAATCAGATAATAAGTGATGCAGTGTAGTTTTACCTTTCTTTAATATTTATTTATTTCTTGTTTGTTGCAATATAGCTGTTTCTTTTTGATCAAATAGGACTGTGTTTTATAAAGGGTGGTCCGAATTGTATTCCGGAAACTTCGGCGGCATATTCCGCAGATAAAAATAAGCAAAACTGTTTGTATAAATGCATGTCCTAAAATGCTTAGTTTCGGAGATACAAGGTCTAGAAATTTAATTTTTATTTCGATGGTGTCTGGAAGTTTTTTGATATGAGAAATTTGATTTTGATGTCAATATGACTCCTAATAGTAGGGGGCGCCATCTACATGTATTTTAACTGGTTTGAAGAGTACCTAATAACTTTTTTCATCCGTACCTGTATCAAACTGATGAGTGAAAAAATATACCTTTTTGGTGACATTTTACGTAAAAAATAT